AAAAAACCTTCCATGACACCATCAACGCACCTTGCCAGTAAATCCTTTTTGCCTTTAATAGCCTTTTGTATGGGTTCGTTGAAAGCGTGCTGCACGAAACCTTGCAGTTCCGCATAGATGTGACGCCTTGAAATAAAATGGTAGTGAAAAACGTAACAAGCATTTGCTGAGGCACACAATCGCTTCAGATATGCACTTTGCCATTTAGTGCTTTTTCAAGACGCAATGAGGGTGACTCATATAAATGAGTTTGTTAAATGCACACGCAGCTAGTCCAAAAGCCCAAATGAGCTTTTTTGATGATCTAGTCAACAACCTTGATGGACTGACTTTAACCCATTTCTCATGCTCGCTCGGCCCTTTAGTTTTATTTTACACTGATTTTTTTTGGATTTTAACTATTCAACACACATATATATCTTCCTAATCGCTGGAAAAAAGATAAATAACAGCCTTGGAGAGCAAAGTAACACCTGATAGCATTCGACAATGACGGCTCAATTCGTCCCAGCAAAGATTGTAATCCTTTGAATCATGGAAATTGTTTGAATGAGAGCCGTCTTTTCAGCAGCCGAATAATTGTACCTAAAACGAATTGAGATGAAAATGGCGAGCAAACATTGTTCCGAATTTGTAGGCGAGAAGGAAGATGGCTAGCTATAAGTCCTGCCCCTAGGCAACACACATGACTTACCTCGTTGCCCGTTCATACTCCTCTGCATTTTCTGGGCAGTCCTTGTTGTCCCTGCTATTTGTTGGGTGGAGCAATTTCCAACTAATAGTTTCAACAACGTCTGCGGTCCACTGACACAGCAGCTGCACACCGCTTAGTGCCAACGAGGTCAGTTCACGGTTTTCAGAATCGGAATTCAACGAAATCCGATCACTTATGGCCACCTTCAATTGCAAAATAACGATCAAGATCATGAAAGAACTAATAAAAAAGAAATACCAAAAGTCACTTTTTGAAAATTATGGAAACAAAAATTCTACAGGGTGGGCGAAAATTATAATAACTAGGAAACTGTATCATTAAAAACGAATATTAGTCTAATGAGACAACCAACTTCAAAAAGGGTTTGAGACGGACCAACTTCAAAAAAGTGTAGGTCATCAGTACTACAAAGAAGAACAAGGCTGAGTTCGAAATTTGTTACCCACTGCATCAATACAGGCTGTTAAGATTAGGAAGAGTGATTGTGGCAAGAGGCGCGCTGTAGAAGGGTTACCAAATTTTGTTATGCCCTGCTTGAGGGATGGACGCGGGGTTAAGATTTGATCGCGCTTTGCTTCAGGTGTACGTAGAGGAAAATCCGATGGATTCGGTGAGGTTCCTAGCTTGAGATGTTGCCCAAAAGACTGGGTCGAACCCTTCCTGGCAAAATTTTTAACTTATGATTAGAGCTGTTTGCTGAAGTAAAGTGTGTACTACATGCATTCGTTAGGCTGGTGTCAGAGTCCGCGATTCGATTTCGCGATTTTCGCGATTTGCGCGATTTTCGCGATTTGCGCGATTTTCGCGATTTGCGCGATTTTCGCGATTTTTCGCGATTTTCGCGATTCGATTTGCGCGATTTTCGCGAAACCTGCGATGGATCACAGGAGTTGGAAGTGCCCGATGAATACTGCGAGGTGTTGTTTAATCCTGCTGCGAATTCTGCTTGGCAGTAAAGATTGGAAGACGAATGTTTGTGGTTCTACTTGTTTCATGTTCAATGTCTATTAGTTCATTGAAATGCTCTTGAATCGTTCCTATTTTTTTTCAGGAATCAAACCAAACCAATCACAAAAATTGCAAGTGCCCCATTTGAACAATTGAAACACTGGATATGAAACAAGTGGAATCATGAGCAGTCTCCATTAAACCATAACCATCAAGCAGAAGTGACGGCGGGATTGGAGAACACCTTGCAGTATGGATGGGGCACTTGTGATTTCCGTGACCCGTCGCGCAAATCGCGCAAATCGCGAAATCGCGAAATCGCGGAAAATCGCGCAAATCGACCCCCCCCCCCCCGCAAATTCGCCGCAATCGGAAGTTTCCCCACGCAAAAATCGGGACTCTGACACCAGCTTATCATTACAGATACCCTAAGAAGTCCGGTGGTTTTACATAAGTATTTCATTTGGGCAGTTAGGTTTTAGATATTTTGATCACAGCAAATTTTTAGGGAATGGAGTAGTTTAGGTAGGCGCCGCTACACACGCGCGGTTCGGAGGTTAAATCTGTGTTGTCCGCAGTCACGCATACAGGTTCATCCAACTATTAAAATCCGATCGACTGACGAGATTGTTGGGAGGAAAAACCACTGACGGTAAGCTCGGCAAATTATTGTATAGGTTAAATATCAACATGTGGCTGGATGGAAGTGGAATGGGTGGCGCATATCAAAAAGGACGCGATTCAAATTGCTGCGCTGCGTTTGACTTTGGTAGGTTAAGTCAATTTTGTAAGTATTGCTGAGTCATTGGATGCATACAAAAGAATGTAGTCAAACGCGGGCGACTATCTCGTAGTTGAAATTTTGGAATTTTTGCGCAGTGCAGAATTGCTTCAGTTAAACGCATTGACAGGAAACGTTGCAGTAGTTATAGTGGAATGAAGTGCCACTCTTCCACAACAGGCGGCATCGTTCGAGGATATGCTTTGAAGTTTCTTCTTAGGTATTGCGTTGAGTTCTCGGAGTGATAAAGGACTAACGACATGACGTGATACATTCATCGAAAAGATGAAGCTAGATTGACTAAGGATGGGCCGATTAATTTCGAAGTAAAACTCTGACGGTGGCGTTTCTGTACATTTTCTTGTGTAGTGATTGGATTAAAATTTCCAATAGAAATTCATCCGTTTTTAAGTGGTTAAGAACGGACCAAATAAACATAGCATAAAGCACATGATGCGGAGGTCAAGCATAACTTCGGAATAATTATGGAAAAACATAAGTAGGTGGATGTATGAGAAAACGACTAACGCTGTTGTTCAGTTTTGCCAACTGTGTCACGTAAGACTCATGATCCGCTCTCGTTATTTTCACTCTTTCGACAATGTTCACATGACATTTTTCACCTGCAATCACCTACAGTTAATGTAGCACTCCTTTAACACCATTTTGAACAGAACGAGATTATTGGTTACTGGTCAATGTCCTTACAATATTCCTTTAATCAGTGTTCAACATTCAAAGGTAACTCAATGAAACTAGAAGGGTCTAAATGTCTAAAAATTGGGCCGTAAAGGAAGACAGATAGTGCAGAGCGTGAGCAAGCACCGTGAATTTCTACGCTTTTGGGTCCATAATTTGAAGTGCAGTCGAAGAAACTTGAAAGTAGAAGTAGTAAGTATGTTGATGCTGCAGTGAAGATGAGTGTCACTATCTTACGAGCCTTGACTGTAAGCTATTATACATGGAGCGTGCTATTAAGATGTATTAGCAAGTGGCGCCGCATACCACACAGGGTAAATTTGGATTTGATCTTGCCCATGATGAGCCCCTCTTCTCCACACTTCATCTCACCAAAAGTTGCAAAAGTCGGCTGAGAGTACAGAGGCTCAGCTATTGAAACGATTGTCCTCGCATGTCACAGCATAGGACCAATCGCATTTGAACGCCACTACAATTCTGAATGGAACTGGAAGGCGTAGCGGCACAGCCACGTCACACCATCATGAATGGCGCCCGTATAGACCTCTCCTCCCTGTTTTCGCCAAGAGGAAACATTTTCAAAGCATAGTCTGATGCATATAGAAGAACATGAATCAAAAAACTCCAAAAAGACCTATTCCTCAAGTGAAAAAGAAATACATTTCAAAACGACTCACCCTCCTTGTCACTCAACGGCCATTTGCTGGAATCATAAAACTGCGATCTTCTCACAAACGAAAACGGTTGAATTTGCATGTCTCCATATAGAGGAACAACTTCAAGTGACTGAAAAGTTGCAAAATGATGCATCTAATATGATGTAAGAGTCCAGAGCAAGATCCAAACCCGTATCGATCCGAATGATTTCGAACAAAATTCGAATAAAATAAAAAGGAGTTAGCGAACTTTGAGAAATCGCTAATTCCGTGAGGTTGAAGTCGTATAATTTATAGGTCTTCACCGCCTGTCCTGGAGTCCATACGCTAACGAAATTAGCAGAACACTCTCGAAGCAGATTAGCAAATTAGCAGAACAATCAAATATCAATTAGCATACTATCAATCAATCAAATTAGCAGAACACTCTCAAGAGAATCTAGAAAAACTGAGCAGAATATGAAGGCAGAATGCCGAGGCGCTCGCAAAATCGCATCACCAGACGCAATACAGATTGGCGGCCGATTTAACGGCAGTTGCGGCGCGATTGTCACTGGGTCAGATTTGCCGAAATTTCAAAAAAAAACGTCCGAATCTACACCCTCGATGAAAAGGTTGCATTCCTCCATTTCACAACCTTTGAAGCAGCTTGAGGTAGAGTTAGATAGAGCTGGATTTCGCGTTTCCAACAAGCATCGAAATTGCTCTGGAAGCCTTCCTTGCAGAAAGATAGGGTCTCAAATTTCGTCGAGTAAATGTCGAGGAGGCCGAAATTTTCACGCGAGTTTTTGCCACTTCAAGAGCAATATATCTCTTATATTGTAAGATCCTGAAAAAGGGAAGATAGTTTTGGAAAGCGGAAGGTTTGCGCTTCCTGATGGTCTGTTTAGTTTTCTTCTACAGCTTTTTGGTTGAAGAGATAATTGCGTCGAGGATCTATCGAGGTCGGATCCGGCCACCTGGAAATCCGCTCCCTCATTCACCATTGCAAGTGTGACTCGTTGGCAACACTCGGAATGTGTCTAGAACAATATCTTTGAACGCAAACAATAAGAATAGGAGCAATCGTCATCATCCGATTTGGTATTGGTATAAGCCATGCATCCCTCCTCCACTCACAGTTGCAGAATCGATTGAAAGGTGTTATATGGTGGTGGACCTTCTGAAGGAAACTGTATTGTAGTACACATTGTGTGTTGTGCTATTCCTGTAATCTAAAGAACAGCTAAATCTGCCCAAATCTTTCCTACATTATTTTCGTATTTGCGCAAGCGTCCCTAAGAACTGTGGTATTCTCAGCGAGGTATTGAGAGCGAGCAAAGGAGAAATCGATAGAGGATGTGCATTTGCAGTGCGTGTGATGCGGCGCACTTTTTGCATAAGTGCACTTTCAGGGCAAATGTTTACAGCAGTGCGAGGAGGCGCTCCAGCGAATCGAATCGCGTCCTTCTGTTCTGCCTGCCTAGCAGTGGCCTCCTTGCCTCCTTGTCTCATTTGATTTAATAACCGCATTTTTACTTCTGCTTCTTCTCTTCTAGAAGTCTGAATTGTGATCTGATTGAGTGATCTATTTCCCTGCATTGTGCAATTTCAGAGCACCTCACGAAACACGAAATTGTGCGTGAACCTCGCCTTTATCATGAAGGTTCGTGCAATGGTACTGCTTTTTGGAATCATCCCTCGCTTCTGTCTCGGTTACGATCGATCCTGCCATCCAGTGTTCAACGAAATATCTACGCTTGGGTTCAAATCTTCTTACGTAACCCAATTCATCGAGCTTTCTCTCAGCGAAGGTTGCAAGGACAGCAGCAGCCGTAAAAGTTTCACCCTCAACAAATATGGGCTATTGGTCCTTGAAACCAGACCGCTATTGGTGAGTTCAAGAAGAATGGGACGCCTTCTCAATGCAT